CCCCCCGCTCCCACATAAAGTTCCTCCTGATCACTTTAAATTTTTAAATAGAAATTTAGGAGTCTATGTTCACACAGAACAATAAGAGAATTTAATACAGAGAAATGTGCCCATAGATATTGAAAAGTTCAAAGAACAAAAAGAGGACACTGGGTAACTGATAGGTTAGTAACTATAGAAAGAAGTTTCTTCTAGACCTAGGAGAACAAAAGAGAAGAAATGGGGTGAACAGAGCTTAGTGTAGGTCCCTCCAAGGCTGGTAAGTTTAGCTATAAAAGGGAGGATGAGAATTAAATTACTTCACAGAGTCACATGAGATTAAAAATTATAAAAGGTCTTTGCTTTCAAATAGGAAAGCAACACACACAAACACAATGAACTTTAGATTTGAAAACAAAGACCAAAACTTGGGGTTCAAAATATTACTGGTACCTATGCAGGGTGAGGCGATCTTGTTCTTCCTAGGAAAGACCAGGAATCCTGAAGTTTCCTTGTAGTTTGCCCAGACCCATCATGACAAGGAAAGAGATAGGGATGTCTGAAGCTGGTTTGAAATAATGAATATCCCAGTCGTGTCACCATGCTTCTTCCATTCTCCTTCCTTTATTTTGACTTTCTCTCTTTGCCTCTCCTCATTTTACCTCTCTATATAGTCACTCATATCCCTTTGGTTTCCTAATACCTCCTATTATCACAAGTGTTTCATCCACTCATTGGCTGGGAGTTTAGGTTGGGTAGAGTAAGGGATTTGCTTTTCTTTCTCCCACACTCTAAGAACAGAATAAAAGATAGAAAGAAGCCTCTTTTATAGAATTTCTTTTCCTCAGTGATTTTTCCATGAAGAGAGAGAGAGAGAGAGAGAGAGAGAGAGAGAGAGAGAGAGAGAGAGCGCTGATATGGGAAAATGTCTAAGAGCATAATTTCTATGCTCCTAGAGAAAACAGAAATAAAATACTAAGCACCCTCTTCCCTCTTTTGAAGGAGAAGAGGGCATTCCCCTTCCTAGACTCATCTTTGGAGGGTTCCCTGGGCAGTGGAGCCTAGAGTTTCAGAGAATAAGATCTGGAACCAAACTGCCTGGCTTATTCCTGACTGTGGACCGTGGGGTAAGTAACTTAGTATTTCTGGGCCTCATTGTCCACCTCTATAATATAGACATAGTATTTGGTACCTATTTTATAGGGCTGTTATGAATATTAGATAAATTCATGTTTCTAAAGTACTTAGAGCCTGGTCTTTAGCGAGTGTTCAATAAATATGAACTTTTAGTAGTATTGCTATTATTATTTAAGATTAGGCAATTCTTATCTTTACTGTATGAGTTAAGTAAATTAGCTACATATAGCTTAATATGTTGCAAAAGTTCATAAATGCTTTTCTTTGGGGAAGTAAAAGAAAGGTTAATATGTTATACATAATGGCATTGTTCCTCCAGTATTTTCATTCAAAAGAAAACGACATACTTCTGCTTTTGCTTTTCTTAAACCAACAGCACACCAGACAGCAAAGAGCCAGCCACGAGACCACTGAGCACAGGGAGGCAGACAGGATGATGGTCGACTTCTCTGACCGAGTCACAGGTAAGATGGCGAATGGCCTGGATCGAGTCGTAAAATTGGTTCCTGTAAAAAAAAAAAAAGGTCTCAATAATAACTGTGCTAATATAACATTGTGGGAAAATATGCTTACAACACTTAGTAGGTTTAATAAATATTTATTGAATTAAATGACTAAATAAATGAACCTAAAATTAATTCAAGATTTGTATTGCTAAAGAACTACAGGAATCCAATTCCAATGATAATGCACAGTTGTTCTCTCTAATTTGTCGAACATTGATGAGGAATTCTTCCAATTCTCCCCTTTTATTCTGTCTTCTCCATCAATGCAAAATTTCAGTTTCATTCTTATGTTCCATTAATTAAAATAGAAATGCTCTGAGTTCTAGAATGTGTGAAACTACTTGCTGTGACATATGTATCCTACTTAAAATATGGCATGTAGCAAAAAGACATGGCACCAAGACTCTTACTACAGGGTCAAGAGGACTTCAAATGTCAGGAGAACTGCAAATTTTGTTATCTGGAAAAGTGGGGGTAGAGCATGGTAGCTGAGCCGCTTGGCTATGAAAGATGGAACAAAATGGGTAACTCTATGAAGTGAATCTTTCTAAGACTTCATATCAAACTTGTAATAGACTGAACAGTTTGACTGCTTACTCCCTTATTATTTTGAAACAAAGCATAAAAGAATCTAAAAAAAAACCCACCTTGTCTATACACATAAAAATATTTACACAAATATTTATAACACCTCTGTTCATAATCACCCAAACTCAGAAACAACCCAAATGTTCTTCAACAAGGGGATGAAAAAATCAACTGTGGTTTATCCAGATGATATAATACTACTCAGCCAAAAAGAGAAAAAGAAAAAAAAGAAGAAGAAAGGAGAAATGAAGGAAGAGAGAGAGGGAAAAAAAGGAGGAAAAAGAGGAGGAGGAGAAGAGAGGGAGGATGGAAGGAAGGAAGGAAGGAAGGAAGGAGAGAGAGAGAGAGAGAGAGAGAGAGAGAGAGAGAAAGAGAGAGAGAGAAAGGAAGAGAGGGGGGAGAGAAAAGAAGAAAAAAAGGAAGGTGGAAAGAAACTGTTAACAATGTGAAACCACTGGGATGAACATCAAAGGTATACTGAGTAAAAGAAGCCCATATCACATTGAATGATTCCATTTATATGACATTCTAGAAAAGATAAAACTCTAGTGATGGAAATCAGATCTGTGGTTGCCAGGGATTAGTGTCAGTGGGAGGAGAGGATGTGAGGACAGAGAAAAGCATAAGGAAGATTTTTTGAAAGATATTTTCTGTATCCTGATGTAGGGGTGATTACATGAATCTATACATGTATTTGAATTCATAAAAAGATATTCCAAAGAAGATAAATTTTACTAGGTATTATATTAAGTATGAACATTTTAAGTTTGTCTATAATTTGGAAGGTGATACATATGTTTATCTTAATTGTGGGGAGGGTTTCATTGAAATATACATTCACCAAAAATTATCAAATGGCATGTTTTAAAAATGAGTAGTTTATCCTGTCCATTTTAGCTCACAAAAATAAAATATTTAGAAGAAAATATTGCCTGCCCAACTGGTGTGGCTCAGTTATTGAGCATCAACCTATAAACCAGGAGTTCAGGGTTTGAATCTTGGAAGTCAGGACACATGCCCGGGTTGAGGGCTCAATCCCCACTAGGGGGCATGCAGGAGGCAGCCAATCAATGATTCTCTCACATCGTTGACGTTTCCATCTCTCTCTCCCTCTCCCATCCTCTCTGAAATCAATTAAAAAACAAAGCAAAACAAAAAAACCTTGCCTAAGAACACGAGTTAGTTATAGTTGGCATTAAAGTAGTTTATTCAAAACAAACAAATCAATCCAAAATCTCTGCTTTCATCTGAATCACTCAGACAATAACAGTTTTTATTTTCTCTAGTCAGGGAAACACCATGTTTTTCTCTGCTGTGCTTTTCTTGGGTTGAACCTGACAATTTGATTGACAGCCACGGTCAGATCTTTAGTCTCTTGACTCCTGGCTGACTCAGTCCCAAAGCTACCATAACCAAATTAGCTAGATATGGTTCTACTGAAGACAAACTTGGCTTGTTTCTTATCAATTAGTTTCTTTCTATGGGCATCAGAATAAAATAAATCCAGCCCGGATACGGGGGATAGGTTTTACTAGGGATTTGCAGAAGTAAAAACAAAATTCCTCATTCTTTTATCCATTTTCCAATGATTGCTCAGTGATTATTATCTTTGCTCAGTGGATAAGTTATTGTTATCATTCTTAAAGTATTTACAAGCTAGTAAATGAAATTCGATATACATACAAATGTTTGGAATAAAAAGACAGAATGTGACACATGCCACCAGAATAATGCAAATGAATTGCTTTGGAAGGATATATGGCATTGATATGATCAGAAGAAGCATACCAGAGGAGAGAGTATCTAAGGGGACGTTGAAGGTTGAGCAAATGAAGACAGAATGGAGAAAAGATCAATTGATATTTAAGAAATTAATGCCGGAAAATACTGGGAATTAATGCTCAAAAGAATTTGAGAGAAAATTTGCTGAGCATTAATTGTCAGTCAAAAAGGCCCTTAACTGTATTCTGAAGGCAATGAAGTTTATAGAAGGGAAAATTCCTGAGGGCCTGAAGTCAGGGAGACCTGTTTACTGCCTAGAGCAGTAACCTGGGTCCAAGATTGCAGACCGCCAGTTTTTAAATATTTTTAGCAGCAAAGCATTTTTTAAAAATGCAATCTTAGACATATTCTCAATATACTTACTTGTTCATAAATATTTGTGCCTATGAGATGCGATGTTTCACTACAGCCTGAGAATATGACACAATTCATTAGGATCCCTGTGTCTTTTGGAACTTACATTCTAATGCAGCACAGAGTACAGACAGTAGACAAACAAGCAAATCCAGGGATACGAGGTAGTGGAAGGTGCCACAAGGACTAAAATGAGGTTGGAAGACAGAATGACTGGAGGTGGGAGCAGGGTTGGGGATGGTGCTGT